ACAACCATACCTAATTCTACATAATATTGGAGCTCTTGGTAATGGATGACATAGTTCTTTCGTGATCCAAGATGGGGAACTAATTTTTTTGTGGCAGAGAAGCGTCCACCATCTAATTGTTTTACAAGTTTAGCATTATAAGGACTTAACCAATCCTTTTCTACAGCGATATTTTCTACCTGAAGTAAGTCTTTTAAATAATCATGAATCTTTAGAGAAAAATGAGCATTAATATTTAAGAAATACCCTCATTTAATATCAGATCATGTATTGAGAATCTTTTTAAGATATTTTTTCTGCATAGCTGGATTTTTTAGTAAATATTCACGACTAGCTTCCCATTGATATTTTCCGATAAGGAAATATTGGCTCATAGAATGTCCATAAAGATTTGTTGTGTCTATATATAATATCCAGGATGTGGGTTTGGATAGGTCATAGGCTTCTTCCATTTTGGGATTATTAGCCTTAAAATATCGTTGACAGGCCATAGATATTCTACCATGCTTAACTTTTTCGGTAAAATCATTTATGGTCATATATGTAAAAAGTTTAATCCTAACTTCTGACATCTTAAGCATTTCATTTCAGGATAATAATGAGGCAAAACATAGTGACTGGGATTAAGTTCATAATATTCCATAGACATTTTTCGAAACTCTGTCCAGACATCTACTAGACTAAGTACATCAGTTTTAAGATAGAGATCATGGTATTCACCTAGATTTTTACATTCGAATTCCTTCCATACTTTCTAGACGTGTTTGTAGTCATCTTATGAAATTTTACCTTTAAAAGTACTATAAAATTCATGAATAGGAGGAAGTTCTGTCTCCTGAAACCTATCATGAGAATTGATATAGTCATAGGAATAAACTCCTTTATGATATACTAATGTAATTGCTCTTCTGTATAACCTAATTTTTTGAAATATTGGCTTGTTATTGGATGGTTATCATCCAAATTTTTTGTAAGACTGCCAAGCTACTATACATGAATTGCATGCTATCTATATATTTGAGTTGATCTACCTTTATAGTCTTATATCGCTCAAATGTTTCAGCTATAACTTGGATATGAAGAGCATTAGCTGATTGCCCGACAGACTCATAAAGCAAGTGAGAGTCATAGCCTTGAAAGTTGTGAAATATAACTGGAATTGGGTCTTCCAATCCTGTATTTGGAGTTTGAGATTACAATCCCTATAGGCTGATCCACAAAACTTACCTATAATATGACAATGATCCCAGACCTTATTGTTTTTAGCTTTTTCACTAGCAATTGCCTTAGTCGCTTTATTAATAGTTGTTTAAATGACATTATATTCAGCTGAATCCTTTTTAAACTTTTCTAGCTTTTCTTTAAGATTGGTTATTTTGTTCTCTAAACACTCAATTTCATTTATATTTATATCAAATTTACCTTTACAGATCTAACAGTTAATTGCCTTTGCAAAATTTTTCTTGTTTTCTTTAGTCTTAATTCGCTCATGTTTGATGGTTAGGACCTCATTGATTTTGACAGCTCTTGATCAATTCTTCGAACGAATTCTTGTGTGGCATTTTCTTCCCTGTATAAGAATGGACTGCAGACATCTCCAGTATCGATCTAGTGAACCAAATAGCAGAAACTGTTGGATTTCTGCTCAGTGAGTTTAATCATACTTCCACCATATGTCTCATTACATTTCTTATTGTCAGCCTCAAAGTCAGCTATAATAACACATGGAGTATTAATTATTCAACCATAGTTTTTGAACTTCTCGTAATCATTGACCCCTTTCACTAGCATTGCGACTCTTTGAGAGGCATTTTCATGTATTCCTAGACACCATTCTAAATGATATTCTAGAGACTTTTCAGAAAGCCAGCTTATAATGCATCTATCACATAAATATTCCTTTTCTTTATGCGTATTATCACCATATATTAATCTACTAGGATTTTTGATCCAGAGAAAATGGTTTTTTTATCTATACTTATCTGTTTCATTATCTTTAGTAATATCTGTAAGGGCTAATAGACAAATTTTATGTTTTCTTTTAAAGTTTTTACTAGCTACAAAGGGTAGCTAAAAGTATCCAAACACTAAGTTTGACATCGTATATCTCAAGATGCACCGATCAGAATTAGTTCAAAAGTTTATATAATCTTAATACAATCTCAATCTATAAAATATTAAAATTTCATTTAATTTGAATCGGTGGAAGCTGAGATA